ATATTTTTTTCAAAATGCAAAAAATTGAACAGGCAATTCTGAGAAGTACCAAATAAAATTAGTGTGGCCTGAGGATGAAAAAAAAAAATGAATAAACAAATATAAAAAAAAGTAATACACTGTTTCAAAATGATGATCCTTTGCTGTTTTATTTAATTTGGAGTGGAGTGTGTACATTACTTCTTGACAGGTAACTAATGCAGTCCCGGTTCTTTCATATGCCTGCTCAACAAGTGCACACATGTATCCATCAACCATTTTTTTTCCCTCTGTCTCCTCCAAACTTGTCTGCATGTATACATATATGAACCTACAGTTACACCCACACCCCTCATATCCTCACCTCATCCTGAAAGTTTCACTCTCGACATATGTCAATTGTGAAGGTTAATGTTTCTAATTCAAAATTACCATCCAAGGTGTCCAATATGCCAGCATAGAGATTTTTGTACAAAATATAACGCTATCAATTGTGAAAAGAATTATGACCTAGAGAGGTCCAATTTAACTTATAGTTGGAGTAAACAGAAGCTACATTTGGCAATTCTGCTTGCATCAAGACTCAACAGTTTAACATTCCTCCATTTGTATAATATATATTGTATCAATGCTACACCTCCTGTGGTTGGAGCACTGAATGAATGAAGGTATTATGTTTGTAACCAGATATTCATGCCCAGCTTATTCAATTTGCAAACATTATCAGTCACCATTTTCCATGGATGAATCAATACAACATTCTGTTGCTGCTTAAATCAAATGACATAAAAAACATAAGCCAAGGCAGCCAATTTGTTTATGTGATCTTTGGTTGAAAGCTGGTATGCACCATAATACTGCAACTTAGCAAATGGAAATTGCTGTCAGTAATTTATGTAAGGTGTTCTGTGAAACAGTGATTTAACAATTCTAATTTCAGGTTTGTTTTGAGACAATCTATTTAGAGTAAAATATTAATATCATTGTACAGGGAAATGGCAGCTTTTCAAGATGGTAGATAAGCAAAGAAATGCCAACCAAATAACAGACAAATCCTATGGACTAGCTATTTATTCTTTACATCAAATCATAATCCCACAGGAACATCAATAATTTTGCTCATTTGATGAAGATAAAATTGTAATGATGTAAAGGAGGAAATAGTAAGAAAATTATGTGTGCTCCTTAACCCTATCCTGTCAAGGCCAAAATTTTCTGTGACATAATTATTACACAACAATCAAGCCTTTCTGGCAGAGCGTGTGCTGTGTAGAGCTGGCCCATATACATACATTATTATGTCATGACAACTATAGCAATACCTGTCACTATAGGGTTAAACATTTTTTTGAAAACTATGTCTCTTACATAATTCCAGAAATCTGTATCTTTACACATCCTGTAAGGGCACATCACTGACCAGGCACTGCACACATCACGTGTCATTTGTTAATCTACATACTACTTTCTGGCCAACTGCACATGTCCTTTCCCTCTCCCCCTCCCATAATGTACCTCCTGTCCCTCTGCCCTCTCACTCTATCTTACCAGCTAGCCACCTTGGATGGATGCATTCAGGAGGGAGGTTTTTGCAATAGTACACATTACACTGTATATCTCTTATCTTCATTTCCCTTATTCATTAAGTATAGAGTAAAACATATACATGAAAAATAAACAATAGTGTTCTCACTATTTACCTGGTGTGACTTTTCAAAAGTGACTAAATATTATTACCCTCTGAATAACTTTCCATTGAATATATTGGTATAGTATGATAGCTTTTATGTCGCATATCTTGAAAAACATCTTGACCCTTATATCCTACCGAAGAAAATTGATGGGCATTTAACACTATTAATTAAGAATTGATTTTTCAATTTTGAAATAGACAGATAAAGGAAGTATCACATATCATGGACTGGTGAAAATCATATCATGCATGAGAGCATACCAATTTTTCAAAATAATAGAAGAATTCACACAGAACCGAAGACATTACGCATCTTTCATGGATACTCCCATGGAAAAAAAGGTTACTAAGTTTTCTCAAAAGCTTTTTTTCCCTATAGACAACAGATAATAGAATAAATATATGATTTTGGGTTGCTATTATGTTTCAAACATCACATGCAAGATCTCAAATTCTCAGAAAAAACCTTACATGCTGATAATTTGCTTCATTGGAGACTTATCACATAATTTGGTGCAAGTGAATAGCAGGTATTATGGTAATACTCACCGGAATTCATACCTTATTGTAAGAGGGGGAATATTAGAGAGCAGACAAAACTCTGAGTCATTCTAGTCTGACCCGTGTATGGTATGTGCAGAGTGCAAAGGTTATATTATACTGGCCATTAACAGTAGGGAGTATCTATCTCTATTCCACCAATAACTGTGCAAACTCATCCACCTGGTTCAGTCATCCCACTAAAGTCCCATTCACTTGCAGTACAGAAACATCACCCCCATCCTGAACCCCCCACCTAACCCATAACACACACCAGCTGAGGATTACCTTTGGTGTGGGCATCGAGGACGACCTTTGGGTTTTAAAAGGTGGTGGTCTCATGTTATGGGGATCAAGGTCAAGGGAGTGCCACGTCTTGGGATCGGCTCTGCTCACCAGGTGTTGGGCACTCCCCTGCTTCTGCATCATGCCCAGCGGTCCTAGCATACCCATCGCACCCTAAGTTACAAGGTATGCACATGTTAGATTAGACGACCAATTCTAGTTCATATGAAGAAGTGTCTTTGCACTAAGTAAAGAAATCAGCCAAAAAAATGAATAAGTAAAATAAATAAATAGATAAATAAAGAGTCAAATAAAGATTGGTGACAGACAACACAAAAAAAGCAATAAAATAAGGCAATTACTAAGCTGATACAATGTACTTTCTCCATACCTATTTATTATACGTATCTACTTGAGAATAAGAAAGCAGAAAATGGTTAAACAGCAAAAATTCATAACACCTTATTTATCTATCATTAAAAAAAATGACTACAGAAAGAAAGAGAACACAATAAGAAGAAAGAAATGGAAATTTGACACAATGGCACTGTAGTAAAGAAAAACAAAAAACATCCAAATGAAATTAATAGAACTAGGAAAAGACATAAGCTTTAGCTGAATACCATTTTGATGAAAAATAATCACACAAAATATAATGTATGCAAGAAATACCTTGAAAAAATAATAACATACACGTTACTATATTCTATGTTTGCAATCTGGTAACTAAAGGAAAATGCACATACATTCCTGATTACACAATCTCAAACATACACACAAAGACAAAAACAATCCATAAACAAAATTAAATAATTCTACTCAAAGAAATACATATATCTATAAACCCAACTGAAAAAAAAAACAGGAAACATTCTAAAAAAAAAAAACACACACAAAACAAACAAACAAACAAACAAACAAACAAACAGAGAGAGAGAGAGAGAGAGAGAGAGAGAGAGAGAGAGAGAGAGAGGGAGAGAGAGAGAGAGAAAGATTATA